GTAATAAATTAAAATGTCAATGCCATGCATGCATGCAGCATGTCAACCTAGACATTTCACGCGCGTTGCTCAGGATACACAAAGAAAATCTCACCTAGTCACATGCCAACTATCGTAAATCAACAGACCATGCATGTGTAGTTGAAAACTTTTAAGATAGTTTCAGACTGTGCTAATAGGAAAATTAGCAAAACACCATAAAGGCAAGGCAACCAACTCACAAGCATAGCGCGTGACTTGTTAGCAGCCCCTGCTTCTACTGTAGCTTGAGAAAGTGCATTCTCCACTGCTGAGAGGGTCATAAGTGATTATAGAAGCAGGTTGACCAGTGAGACAATAGAGGCTTTAATCTGCTTGCAAGACTGGATTAGGGCAGAAGGCTTTAAGCTGGAGTGGACGGCGGCCGCTCCGCAGATTTCCGATCGATGAGTGGACACAAGTCGCGTGGTCCTCGCATTATGCTTAGTTTCAACCTCCTGGCCCGGCTTTAGATGGACTCGATGCTAGCCCACTCTCCTTGGTCGAATTTCTGCAAGTTTCTTGTTCAACATTAATTTTTGTTTGAAATTTCGTAATTTAACTAAACCCTGAAAATTTTCCACTTTCCGATGCATTGAACCCTGGCCGGAACCTATCAAAAGTATGTCGTCAGTTGATTGCAAAACCTCATAGATATCGATTTTCTTGCATGACATAGCATCAGGGCAATTTTGCGCAAAGATTATAGAATCTCACCAAAGACTCTTTCATATATATTTGAACACTTTTCTTTGGACGATGCAAGCGTGTGATGGTCCAGACATACTTATTAGCCTACTCCAGTTTAACAATTTGAACTAACATTACTTGCAGGAATCTTCATAGGTGTCGGTTTGGAACTAGTCATGCCTTCATAGGTGCTAGTTTCCCAACCAAAACAAATTTGGGGTAGCTATGCCCTCCGCATATGTTCCGATTCAAACACCGGCACCTATGAAGATGACAGGTGGCGGTTCTTACCCTATAACCGGCACTTATAACCAGTTCCATCAATAAAAAAAGCTCCATGCATTCGAGCCGATGCGTCGAGCATCTCCTGATCCACACCCAATAACCACCCCTATGATCCCCATCATCCCCCATCCAAGAACACATTCATGGAATCGATCAAAATTGCAACAGAAAATGAAAATAAACAGGGCAAGGAATGTAGTGTGGGGCAAGTTGGTAGTGATGGTAGAGGAGCGGGTCGAGGCAATGGAGGTGGATGTTGGATATATATACTACGAGCTTGTGGCTATGGAAGATGAAGCAGTGGCACAGATCGACGAGGGCGGCGCTACCACCAGTGCTCCTCAACCTTGCCACCATCACTCCTCCTCTGCCGCCACCACCAGCATCCTCATTGCATGCGGTCACTACTTGTCGTCGAGCTCGGCGCCAAAGTCAGTGAGCCTGGCCTGTGGCAGCTGCACCGGCACAGCCACGGTGACCACGTCCTCTCCCTCCACCTCCACCTATGGACTAGTGGTTTGGGGGCGGTGGGAGTTTGGAAGGTTCTTTAGAGGGGGTGGGGGTGCGGAGAGGATATGGATGGTGGGAAGTGGATAAGCTCAACTTGGCCGCACACTATAAGGATGTGGTTTGGATAACTGGATAAGGATATCATGTGGGTGCCGGTGTCTCGGCTCGGTTGGCTTTGGGTTTCGGTTTTTTCAAAAATGGATACATATACTAACACCTATAGTTGTTGGTTTTTTAATTAACCGGCACCTATAGTAAGATATTATTGTCGATTCTTTTAAAACAATACTAACACCTATAGTATAGGTGCTGGTCTTTCCTATACCTGCACCTATAGTGCTCAAAGCCGATGGTTCTATAATTTTTCAAAATGTGGAGGTGAGAAAATGCTTATCGGTATCGAGTCCTCTATAAGAGGTTTCGTAGTAGTGTAAATACTCCCTCCGTTTCAGGTTATAAGATATTTTAACTTTAGTCAAAGTCAAACTGCTTTAAGTTTGACTAAGTTTATAGACAAATATAGTACTCCCTCTATTCCAAATTGATTTACGTATAGTTTTTTTTTTGAGGTTATTCCTAAATGATCTACATATTTGTGTTCATTCATTAATTTTATTCGTTATTTGTGCATTGGAGTAAATGGACATTGATGCATGCATCCATGCACACAAGTATTTATAACCCACATGCAATATCTTGATTTGCTATTGGCTAGGAAATAGTGGAGATGGTACATGCATTGAGTTTGTTGCTAGAGTAAATATAGTGTGAGAGAGCTATTAGCTTTTCTTGGTCTTGGTGTACCTATGAAATATGTAGATCAATTTGGAATGGCGGGAGTAATATTTACATTACCAAATTAGTTTCATTAAATTAATAATTAGAGAGAATCCCTTATATGCCACTCCAAATTAACTGATTCCCTTATATGCCACTTCAAATTAGCCCTTCCCTTCTATCACACCGGTTCAAGTTTGTCCTCCCTTCTATGTCATTGCCGTCAATCCTCCGCCAGTTGACCCTTAACTTCATAGCAAAAAGATGCATTTGCCCTTGAGATTTGGTATACAACCAATGAGTTTTTTTTATTTGATAGAGAAGTTAGTCTATGTATATATATAGCATTTTAGTACTAATATAGCTAATGCATACGACATATGAAAATTGATTTTTTTTTGCATCACGTGCAATTTTAGCCATCACCATCACAAATGAATTTTCAATATAAGCACGAAACATGCAGCTTTCCAACAATATTTTTAATACAAAGAGCATTTTTCATTGGTTCCGACAAAATTATGTTCATTCAAAAAGGATTTAAAATAAGCTAGTTATGATTTTTTTAAGTTTACACATTTTTTAGTTGAGAGGGCATAATGGTCATTTAGAAAAAAAAACTAACATTGGACTAACAGTTAACAAACGTTATAGTGCTGGGAGTGGTATAAAAAGGTGGAAAAACTTAAACCAGTGACATAAAAGAGAGAAGCTAATTTTAAGTGGCATATAAGGGAACTAGTCAAATTTGATTGGCGTATAAGGGATTCTCTCAATTTTTTTTCCTCAAGATTAGTGTGACTTGCTTAGCTCTATCAGAGTATCACTACGGAATAATTATGGTAGTTCCAGAATCACGAGCTCTGGGGAGTCTGCATGAAAACTACGTAGAGGTATTAATAGTCACCGGGATGAGTTTAAGGTGTTCGAGGCCACAATGAACAACGGCGATCGGCATGAGAAAAAGGCAGAATTATTTTCTCAAACATAAAATTAGATTTCGTTTCAAATTACAAGCCGTGCGAATTATGTAGCAAAGACTGGGGACACTCTATTTATTCCTTAAGAATATCCTCTCACTTTTACATGTCGCTTGAAAATCATCCAAGAAAATTTGGAAAAAAAAGTACCATATTATTACGTGATATGTCACTCCATAAACATACATGTTTAAATTCAACTTATATAAGTGAAAAAATAACTAATTTGATTATGAATCAAAGACGTAATTCACGGTTAAATTTATTTTGTTATAAAATTGTATAAGTCGAATTTTAACTTACATGTTTGTGGAAAGATATATTATATACTCCCTCCATAAAAAAACGAATCTAAGACTAGATGTGATATATTCTAGTATAACGAATCTGAACAGAGGCATATCTAGATTCGTTATATCAGGAGATATCATATTCAGTATTAGATTGGTTTTTATGGGACGGAGGGAGTAGATGACATTTTAAATGCCTTACACAAAATAAAGGATGTCCTGGCACACACAAAAATCCGAAAATGCTCACACCCGGGCGACCGGCAGGGGTGGAGAAAAATCGAGCGCTGCTTTTGTGCCTGCCAGTGTACGTCTGCATGCAAAGAATTTTTTCTCACATGCAACCATCTCTTATTTCTTCAAAAGATTTTTTTCTCATAAACTATTTATCTAATCTACGATCTGATTGCATCACTAAATTCATTACAATTAAATCTTTACAACAAGACCACACATGATTATATTTCGACAAAAATATTCTAGATTTTTTATTATTTTTTTTAATATTGCATATGGTCTCTTTTGATGTTTCAACCAGTAGTTTTACAATGTTTCAACTAGTATACTTATGATGTTTCACTATGTACGGATCAAATGTTGCAGTGGATTTTGATATTATGGAACGCGCCGTTGCAACAAATCACCCATATATTTTAGAAACCCTCTATTAAGGGAATTTGGTTTATTTTTTGTTCCACCAAAAATGTTTCACCTAGTATACTCACAATATTTCACTATATATAGATTTAATGTTGCAGTGAACTGAAATATTTCATTGCAACAAAAAACCCACATATTTTGGAAACCTCCTATTAAGGGAATTCGTTTCTTTTTTTTCACCAAAAAATGTTTGACTTAATGTACTTATAATGTTTCACTATGTATAAATCTAATGTTGCAGTGAACTGAAACATTCTTTCGCTATTTGCTGAAACATTGTTTTCATATAAGTTGAAACAACACCCGATTTAAACGAGTGAAATATTTTTGATCTACTTAGTGAAACAATTCCGATATACCTGGTGAAACATCATGCAACATTTAAAAATAATTCAATAATAAGCTTTTTTTTCATCGGAATATATCCATGTGTGGTCTTATTTTGAAATTTTAATTACAACGAATTTAATGGTGTAATTGGATCATTAATTAGATAAGTAATTTAAGAGAAAAATCAGTTTAAAGTAGTTTTACACGTAAATCGGGTGCTGACGTCAGTTCAGCATCTGATTTTTCCCCAAAGGATCGAACATCCGACCTGTAGGCTTTTCCACAAAAATCTACTTCCCACTTATTCTTTTCTGATACGTTTATTTCAGTTTTCCCGTTTGGGTCTTGGACTCCTACAGTCCTAGTACTAGTTTTGACTTACTAAGACGTAACAAAGTCCCATTGTGTTTGGCATTATTTATCTCACGTTTAATTTCTCTTCCGTCGAGAGAAATCAGAGATGAAGACGATGACATCAGAGATGAAGCCGCCGTCATCGTCGTCATCGTCGTCGCTGTCGTCACGAGGTCTCCCGATTGACGTCATCGTGGAGATCGCCGAGCGCTCCGACCCGATCACGCTCCTCCGCTGCGCCGCCGCGTGCAGGCAGCTCCGCCGTGCCATCTCTGGCGAGGGCCTCCGCCGCGAGCTCCGCCTCCGCAACGCCGCCGGCTTCGTCCCGGTCCTCCTCCGGGGCTTCTACTACCAGCCTCTCCACGGCGCCCACGGTTTCCTCCAAGAGCCGGTCCGCTTCTTCGCCGCCGGCGCCGGCGCCGGCGACCACCATGGCCAGCTCCCGGCGGGCGACGACGCCGTTGAGTCGCTGGCCCTCGGGTTCGAACCCGTGGAGGCGCGCGGCGGCTTCGTCGTCGCTCGGACTGGCAGGTCCTCCGGCGAAGTGTGCAACCCCATGACGGGCTACGTGCTCCCCATCCCTCTGCCGAGGAAGGATTTGGTGACGTCATACCTGCTGCTCACCGCCGACGATGGCGTCGGACTCGGACCGAGCTCCGACGACGACTCCGAGCTCCACCGGTTCAGGCTCCTCGCCGTGCAGCTCTGCCAGCCGACGAACCAGGGGCGGCGGCTTCGACTGAAGATGCAGGCGTTAACCCCGGTCACTGGCAGATGGGGCCCCACCACCAAGATTCCCGTCCATGGCGTCGGCGGCGACATCCACCAACACCCGGGCGCCGAGCTACTCGGCCGGCATCCCGTCGTCGTCAATGGCGCCGCCTACTTCCTCGTCGTGTCCCACTCCTTCGACCGCCAGCGCCCGCACCCGCCGTCTCACTACTTCATCCTCCGCGTCGACGTCTCCGACCACGGCGGCGGCGACGGTAGAAACGGGACGACGAAGGCCGCGACGATCATCCCGGCGCCGGAGGGGCTGAAGCCGCCGTCGTGCTCGCGCTGCACCAGCAGCGAGGCGGCGGCGGCGGTCGTCACGTCGAAGCAGCTCCTGCTGACGCCGTCGCGCGACAGGAGGTCGGTGGCGCTGCTCGTCTGCCGGACCACCAGGGTGGAGATCCACACGCTGGACATGCTCGCGGCGCCGTCGGCGTGGGCGCGCGCGACGGAGGTGGTGGACACGGCGGCGGTTCGCCGGAGGCCGTGCGACCTGTCGGAGTCGGAGGTGGAGCTGCATTGGTCCGGCGAGGCGAGCGGCGCCGTGGTGCTCCGGCTCGGCGGCACGGTGTGCCAGCTGGACCGAGCGACCATGGCGATCCGCACGATCGACGAGGAGTTCCCCGAGTTTCGCTACAGGAGTCGCCATATGTTGCTGCCCTACGAAATGGGTTTGTCCAGTTGGGTTCCTTCGATATCTACATCTGCATAAAAAATTTTGGAACAAAATGTATAAATATATACAGTTATTTTCACCGATTTTATACAAATATACTACCATCATTGCAGAGCATATGATGCGAGTTCGCGATGGTGCGTGTGTTCGCTCGGTTGGTTTGGTTTGTAGAATGAAAATAGCTCGAAAACTAATGAAAACCACCTATACTGTTATCATTTTCTTTCAGAATCGAAATCGGAAACCTGCAAACGAAGCTAACACAAATCGGAGCAAATATCAAAAGATATTTATCAGAATATAAAAACCCCGAAAACTTAACTTTTGAAATCAACAAAAAGATATAGCCCATTATTTTTTCTAAAACAACAAATCAACATTTCTATTTTTTATTAGTTTTAGTAATAATACAACTAGTTGTATAGTTTACAATCCAGAAGAGCAAGAATTATATTAGTTGATCTATAACTCTAATTAGCATGACATGGCCTAAAATAATTCTAATTAGGCAAAAGAAAAACATATCTAACAGCGCTAAAATAAATCGGAGCGAATACAGTAACGGATATTTATCGGAATATAAAAATCTTTAAAACTGAACTTTTCAAATTAACTTCAAATTAACGAAGAGATATAGCCCATTATTTTTTCTAAAACAATAAATTAACGTTTCTAATTTTTATCTGTTTTATAGTATAATAAAATACAACTAGTTGTATACTTACGATCTAGAAGAACAATAATTATATAAGTCTATTACTGTATTTATTATATGGCATGGCCTAAAATAATTGTAATTAGGCAAAAGAAAAACATATCTAAAGCACCTTCTTAGACCTAAGGGTGGTAGTTTCCCCATTGGGGACAGGGCTCACCCCTACGAAGCTACAAACGGGGCATTATTTCCACCCGATGGTTGAACGGTGCGGGTCTCAAAGTTATGCGGGTCCCCTGTTACAGGAAACCTAGAAAAACAACTTATCATAGCCGAAAATGCTGGGGATCAGGTACCCTATCCGGCGGAAAAAAATCGGGCGCCCTCCCCCGCGCGCGCCTCCGCGAAGAAAACAGCGCCCTCTCCCCCACGTGCGCCTCCACCTGCCTCCCACGCGCTCCCACCACTTGCACCCCGTTGCAACAAATCTCCCACATATTACGGAAACCCCCATATTAAGTAAATCCGTTTCATTTTCTGTTTCACCAACAATGTTTTAGCTAGTGTAATTATAATGTTTCACTATGTATGGATGAAATGTTGTAGTGAATTGAAATATTCTTTTGTAACAAATTACCCATATATTTTGGAAACGCTCTATTAAGGAATCCGTTTTAATTTTTGTTCCACCAATAATGTTTCAGCAAGCGTACTCATAATGTTTCACTATATATAGATCAAATGTTGCAGTGAATTGAAACGTTCTTTCGCTATTTGCTTAAAATATTATTTTTTTATAAGGTGAAACAACGCTCGATTTTTTGAGAAGCTATTGTTTCATATGTTGTAGCAAAATGTTTCATGAGGTGATTTGGTTGTGTTTTAGCCTTTAAACAATTGAACATTTTTCGATCTACTTAGTGAAAAGTTTCGATCTACTTGGTAGAACAATGTGTAATATTTAAAAATAATTTAATAATAAGCTAAATATTTTTTTATCGGATTATATCCAAGTGTTGTCTTGTTTTAAAGATTTTATTGCGATGGATTAATGGTGCCATCGGATCATAATTTGGATAAATAATTTAAGAAAAAATAGTTTTAAAGTTTGCTTAGGAATTTTTGCTGGCATATGCAAGCATGATGACATATGATTATGTGGGCACCTGATTTATCTCAGAAAAAAATGGGCGCCCAAGTGCCTCAATTAACCTTTTAATTAGTTTCGGTTTCTCGTTTGGGCTTTGGACTTCCTAGCTACGTGCATGAGGTGCGTCAGAGTCATCAGCCGATAGAGATCAGATCGAGATGGAGGAGCCGCCGTCCTCGTTGTCGTCGCCGGCTCTGCCGCTGGACATCGTCGTGGAGATCGCGGAGCGCTCCGACCCCATCACGCTCCTCCGCTGCGCCGCCGCATGCAAGCACCTCCGCCGCGTCATCTCCGGCGAGGGCTTCCGCCGCGACCTCCGCCTCCGCAACGCGGACGGCTTCGTCCCGGGCCTCCTCCATGGCTTCTTCTTCCAGCCTCGCTGCCCCAGCCCCCATTACCACGGCTACAACTACGACCCGCTCCGCTTCGTCGCCGCCGGCCGCCATGATCAGCTTTCGGCGGCGGAGGACATCGCCAGCGGCGGCAGCGGCGGCGGCGGAGACACCTATCAGATACCGTCCTTCGTATCCGACTCCAACCGCGTCCACAAGAATAAACGTTCTCGGCGCATCGAACCCGTGGCGGCGCGCGGCGGCTTCGTCGTCCTCAGGACCGGCAAGTTCTCCGGGAAGGTGTGCAATCCTATGACGGGCTACACGCGGCCCATCGACATGCCGAGGAAGACGGCGAAGGGTGAGGGGTCGTCCTACCTACTGATCACCGCCGACGACGGCGGTGACGGCGTCGACGTCGGAGTGACCTCCGACGAATCCGAGCTCCACCGGTTCAGGCTCCTCGCCGTGCGCCTTTTTGCGAGGACGCGCGTGGAGGTGCAGGAGTTAACCCCGGACACTGGCACGTGGGGCCCAGTCACCACGCTCCCCGTCGTCGATGCCGATCACTACCTCCACCCGCACCCCGTGCTGGTCCGCCCACCCGTCGTCATCGCCGGCGTCGCCTACTTCCTCGGCGAGATGTCCGGGAGAGACGACCAGACATACCAACTCCTCCTTCGGATGTCCCTGGACCGGGAGAGCTTGGGCCGGCAATACCACCACTCGCCGCCGTCCTACAGCTACTTCATCCTCGCCGTCGACGTCTCCATCCGACGCGACGGCGAGACCGGAACAACAGCGGCGGCGACGATCATGCTGTTGCCTACCGAACTCCGTGCCCCGTCGTACACCGGCGAGGCAACCGTCACGCCGACGGCGGGGCAGCTCCTGCTTTCGCCGTCGTCGTGCGGCGGCGGCAGAAGGTCGTCGTTGGCGCTGCTCGTCGGCCGGAGAACCCACGTGGAGATCTGGACGATGAAGCTGATCCGCCGTGGGATGGCCTTGCTCCGGATGGCGTGCACAATGTTTGACGCCATTGACTTCTTAGCACATGTTTAACCGTTCGTTTTATTTAAAAAATTAAGTAATTATTAATTCTTTTCATATCATTTGATTCATTGTTAAATATATCTTTATGTAGGCATATAATTTTATATATTTCACAAAAGTTTTTGAATAAGACGAACGGTCAAACATCTGCTAAAAAGTCAACGGTGTCAAACATTTCGAAACGGAGGAGCGAGTATATTCCTGTGAAACCGATGAAAAAAAATATTTTTTTAATTGATTTCATAAGTCATCACTCTAGAAAGCATGAGTCTTCTCAAGTGAAGGCGGCGATAGTGGCAGCACGTATTGTATATTAGGGTTCAGGATTGGGGTAGAGATAATAACGGGTTGGCAGAGGAGGAATAACAAAAAGACGCTGTTAGTGACGTAGGAGACACCATGATAGAAGCGGATGCACACATATGCATCGATGGCCCGTGCAACACTACCAAAAAAAACCATTAACACTAGCAGTTCAGAAACCCTATCATATCACAGCTATTGTTTTATCGGACATTAATATTAGGCTAGCAACCTATTCAAGAATCGTACTAATGCCCATTTTAGGGCTAAAAATTGTAAATTTCTATAAATTGATAGTGATACTTGAGATTAGATACTACAATTATCTAAAAAATACAATTACTAAATTTCATGATCTCAAATTCCTATTACAATTAATTTCAGAATCTCAAAAATCAACAGATCACAAATTCATGCGTACAAATTCAACAAATCCACACATAATCACACAAATCACATTCATGAGGAACAATTAGGATCGGTCGACTAGGGGAGGTAGGAAAATCGATCGCTCCCCTCCCCCCACCACTACCAGAGAGTGGGAGACTACCGTGTACCTCAGTTGGTTACCGAGAGTGTTATATGGAACACGGTAACGTTTAAAGCATACCGTGTGTGTACAAGGAAAAACTCGGGAAGCGGCTAAAAATGCCGTGGGACGAATCGAGAAACACGGTAAGTGTGGGACCCATAGTTTCTGCCGTTAAGCGCGCGGAATATTTGGTCTGGCGCGCGGGATCGCCGTTGGCGCAGGCGGATGGCGCGCCAAGATTTCCGTTGGCGCGGCTGGCTGGCGCGCCTGATTTTCGTTGCCGCGCGAGTAACAGGAGAATCCCGTGCGAGTTACAGCCGAAGGCCCACATGTCAGCCCAAAATAGAGAACAACAAAACCCTAGCCCTTTTAATCGATCCCCTCACTTCCCCACCCCCTGCCGCCTCATTCTCCTCGCCACTTTTCCCCTTTCTGATTTTTCCCCTCTCTTCTTCGCACATGGCAGGATAGCTGTGCGCCCCAGCGTCAGTCCGCCGCACGGCCGCCGAGCAACGCTGTGCATTCCTGGCCGTACGTGCTCCCTGCATGTCCACGTCCATCTGCTAGGCTCCCCTTCGTTGTCCAGCTTGAGCACACCTCATCTTCCATCCAGCTGGTGGTATGTATATGTTGAGTTTTTTCTTGAATCGTATGTAAAGTTGGGTCTTGGTTCTAGAAAACCCATCCATTTTCTCCCAAGAACTAGAAATAGTTCGGTGTATGATTTCTAGGAACTGTATCTCATTTTAATTTCTTGTAATACCACAAGTACCATATGAATAAGTTGTTGTGCTTTGTAAATAAAAACAATATTAGACTACAAAATGATGTGGGTGAGAGTTCTTGCACTGTCAGAATAATGTGTTTTCATATTTGTGTACTTGTTGATGGATACATATTGGTTAGGCAAAACTTGCCCTCTTTTCAGAAAACATAATGGTTAGTATGAGTGTTTGCCACGGCCCTACTTGTTTAGATCGATGTTGAATGGTTGAATCGGGTTGGAATGACAGCACCATGTTGTGTGATGATCTGCAATGCTATGGTGTACTACATCTTTGTATCGACATTTTATAATA